ATAACTGGAGGTTGGTACATTTTGACTCCCTGTGCCCATTTCAACCCCTCACCCAACTCCTCCACCCTTGTCCCTGGAAACTGCCGTTCTGTTCCTTGATTCTGTGAGGTTGGGCTTTTTGTTGTTTGGTTGTTTTGTTTTTGTTTCTAAATTCCACATAACAGTAAGATCACATGGTATGCATCTGTCTTACTCATTTCACTTAGTGTAATGCCCTCAAGGATCATTCATGTAGTCTCCAAATGACAAGATTTCATTCTTTCTTATGGCTAAATAATATTCTATTGTATATGAACAGGTATCCCCTGCTTTTTTAAGTTGACTTTCTGCCACTTTGCTTTCATAAAAGACCTACATTAATACCTGTTTTCATCAACTGAAAGAAATCCAGAGGAGATTTTCACTTTTATGAAAAAAAAAAGTGAAAAGTAAAACTAACACTCAGTGTTTTGTTTTGCAGCAAGGCGTGCTAGAGGCCGCCTGCAGCCCAGGCCGTGAGCGTGGCGCCGCCAGGCCCCTTCCCCAGGAGCCACACTCAGCATCAAGGCAGCGTAGCTTTGAACTGTGCCTGTGAGCATCTGTGCTTTATCCTCATTGTTTTCTTTTAATCCATTAGCAACATAATTGATTCTTTGCATTATTCTATCTCCATTTATAAAAGATTTCATAGGAATACTCTCAGGTTTTTCAGATAGTGGGGAAAACCTATATACATTTTCTTTTTTCATTCTCCCATTGTTGGACACTTAGGTTATTTCCATTTCTTGTCTTTTGTAAATAATAATGCAGTGAATGTGGGGAGTACATATATCTTTTCAAGTTAGTGTTTTTGTTTTCTGTGGATAAATTCCTTTAGTGGAATTTGCTGGATCATGTGGTAGTTCTGTGTTTTGAGGAACCTTCATACTATTTTCCGAAGTGGCTGTGCCAGTTTACATTCCTACCAGCAGTGTACTGCTGTCCTTTATGTCTCCATCCTCATCAACACTTGTTACCTTTTTTTTTAATGTGAATATATTTTATTTTATTTTCTCAAATTTATTTTTAATCGGAGGGTAATTGCTTTACAATGTTGTGTTGGTTTCTGCTGTACAACAAAGTGAATCAGCCACAAGCACACGTATGTCCCTCCCTTTAGGCCTCCTTCCCGCCCCTTACTGCCTTTTGGTAATAGCCATTCTAGCAGGTGTGAGGTGATGTGTCACTGTGGTTTTGATTTGCACCTGTCCATCACCAACTCCCGGAGTTTACTCAGACCCATGTCTATCGAGTCGGTGATGCGATCCAGCCATCTCATCCTCTGCCGTCCCCTTCTCTTCCTGCCCCCAATCCCTCCCAGCATCAGGGTCTTTTCCAATGAGTCAGCTCTTCCCATGAGGTGGCCAAAGTATTGGAGTTTCAGCTTCAGCATCAGTCCTTCCAATGAACACCCAGGACTGATCTCCTTTACGATGGACTGGTTGGATCTCCTTGCAGTCCAAGGGACTCTCAAGAGTCTTCTCCAACACCACAGTTCAGAAGCATCCATTCTTTGGCACTCAGCTTTCTTCACAGTCCAACTCTCACATCCATACATGACCACTGGAAAAACCATAGCCTTGACTAGATGCACCTTTGTTGGCAAAGTAATGTCTCTGCTTTTTAATATGCTGTCTATGTTGGTCATAGCTTTTCTTCCAAGGAGCAAGTGTCTTTTAATTTCATGGCTGCAGTCATCATCCGCAGTGATTTTGGAGCCCAAAAAAATAAAGTCTGTCACTTGTTTCCACTCTTGCCCCATCTATTTCCCATGAAGTGATGGGACCAGATGCCATGATCTTAGTTTTCTGAATGTTGAGCTTTAAGCCAACTTTTTCACTCTCCTCTTTCACTTTCATCAAGAGGCTTTTTAGTTCTTCCTCACTTTCTGCCACAAGGGTGGTGTCATCTGCATATCTGAGGTTATTGATATTTCTCCCAGCAATCTTGATTCCAGCTTGTGCTTCTTCTGGCCCAGCGTTTCTCATGATGTACTCTGCATTCAAGTTAAATAAGCAGGCCTGGTGTGCTGTGATTCATGGGGTCGCAAAGAGTTGGACATGACTGAGCAACTGAACTGAACTGAACTGAATGCTTGGTGATGTTGAGCATCTTTCCATGTACCTGTTGGCCTTCTGTATGTCTTTGGATGTACCCATTCCTGCATACGTTATTACAAGTGATAACTAAAATAGTGTAAATACTGAAGTGAGTCCCCTGTAGGTAGCATATAGATGTTTGGGTTTTTTTTTAATCCGTTCAACTAGTCTGTCTTTTGATTGGAGAATTTAGTTCATTTACATTTTAAGTAATTGTTGTTGCATAGGTTACTTACTGCCGTTATGTGAAACTTCTTCTGGAGGTCTCATAGTTCTTCTGTTTCCTTCTTTCCTCTCCCTTTGTGGTTCGATCATTTTATCTGATGGTATGTTTAGATGTTTTTCTCTTTATCTTTTGAATATTTCCTATAAATTTTTGATTTTTGCTTTGTGGTTACCACGAGTCTTAACTTATATTTACAATCATCTATTTTAAGTTGATAATGAGTTGAGTTTGAACTCATTCTGGAGCTCTGCATTTTTATTCCCCTCCACATTGTGCCTTTGATGTCACCTTTTACATTAAGCTTCATTCTGAGAGTACAGTCAGCTTGAGCCAGACAGAGAGGGGGGGTGAAAATGTTGCATCTGGCAGCCTCTGAGCATCTCCATAGATCCCTGATATGCACCAAACTAGAAGCCTTCTCCTCAAGCCTAATTTTCTGGACAAGCAAATAGGCCTGTTTCACAGAAAGACTGAGGTGTGTTCCAGTCTGGTATGGGTGCCGTCCCTGGGGGCGGTAGCCCGCCAAGGACCATTTCTTTGACTGTTGGTCCTGTGGGACCCAAGAACACGAGCCCACCCGGGGCTGCAGACGTGCGTCCGTCGCCCGTGGGAGACAGCTGGTGCTGTGGAGAGCAGCAGAGGGCAAGGATGGCCCATAGCATAAAGACGGCACTGCTCGTCTCTGGTCTCACTGTCCTAGCTGGTCGCCAGATGGATGATGAATTAAATGCCTGGGCTTGCCAGGCGGGGCTCTCAGTAAAGAACCGGCCTGCGGGACATCCCTGGCGGTCCAGTGGTTAAGACTTTGCTCCCCAGTGCAGGGGGCGCAGGTTCGATCCCTGGTCGGGGAGCTAAGAACCCACATGCCTGGCGGCCAAAAAAAACCCAAAACATGAAACAGAAACAGTATTGTAACAAATTCAATAAAGACTTTAAAAGTGGTCCACATAAAAAAAAAAAAAAAAATCTTTAAAAAAAAAAAAAAAAAGAACCGGCCTGCCAGTGCAGGAGAAGTACGTCTTGGGTTCCGTCCCTGGGTCAGGAAGATCCCCTGAGGAGGGCATGGCAATCCACTCCAGTGTTCTTGCCTGGAGAATCCCCTGGTCAGAGGAGCCAGGCGGGCCACGTCCATAGGGTTACTCAGAGTGGGACAGGACTGAAGCAGCTTTGCCAGCGTGTGTATCCTGCAGGCCGTCACTTTAGATAAGCAAGTGAACCTCTTACAGGAAGGCTGGGCGCCTCTCGGTCAGCTGCTTCCGCACTGGTATTATGGGGGAGGAGGGGTTCCAAGCATGGGAACCCTTTCAGAGCCATTCCTCAGTTCTGTTCCTTTGTGTGACTTGTAGACAAACATCCCCTTGTTTTATTGTTGTTGTTTTTTAATAGTAACCCATTTTATTTTTAATTAATTTCTCTTTAATAAATTAAAATTTATTTGGGTCTCGTTGCTGCACCAGGGCTTTCTCTAGTACGCGCTCTGGTTCTGGAGCAGGCCTTCGGGCGCACAGGTTTCTGTAGCTGTGGTTCCCGGGCTCTGGCGCGCAAGCTCAGTACTTGTGGCACACGAGCTTAGTTGCCCCGAGGCCTGTCGGGTCTTCCCAGAGCAGGGATTGAACCCATGTCCCCTGCATTGGCAGGTGGATTCTTGCCCACCATACCACCAGGGACGTCCCCCTTTGTTTTTTAAGTTAGATGTTTTGGTGACTCATCTGCCAGTTACTACTGGTCTTAAAACTTGGGGTACCTAATTTGGGGTTCAGACCTTTTCCTCCTCAGGAAGAAGATGCAGGTTTTGCATTTCCTCCTGATTGTGGGTCGCCACATCAGGAATGGATTTTATGGCAAAATTCTTTCTCAGCCTCTCCTTCCCACTTTTTGATTAAAACGCTTATTGTTTGACTTCACATTTTAATATTTTACTATATTTGTTTTATATCATTCTTTTGTTTTGTGTGACAATATGCCTTACATCCCTGATTAAACCATCTCTCCTCAGAGCATGATTTCATGTACCTCTCAGTGAAAAGTGCTTAGTATATGGTGGGTGCTCAAAATATTTCTTTTTGGATTGGATTAAATTTAAATAAAAAGAAATAGCTTAATTATTTTAGGTATTTTCTTGATTACTTAATATCACTGCCTTTTAAAATTAATTGATAAATCACTATTAATGGTTTATATATTTAAACATTTTGAGAATTCTTTTTTTGGACAATCTAGACACATTGTAAGGTCAAGAGGAAAAAATATTCTTTGGAACACAGAGTCAGTGGTTAGAACAGCCTTCCCATAGTCTGGATGCAGCTGAGCTGATGGCCAGGTGTTTTCCCATTCTGCCAAACTGACCCCCTTCATCTGCTCTTTGAAAAGACTGAAACATGGGTTACCCCTGAACAGATCCACTTATGGTTGGTGGATAGGAATTACCTTGTAGAGTATTTACTTCATGGCACTCCTAGAACATTTACTTGTGTCTGGCTTTGAGGGTAATGTCAGATAATCTATAAGCATATAGGCTTCTTGTGATTTATTTAGGTTATAAAATACCCCTTTTTAGTATAACATTATGTCTGGATTAAGACAACTCTTGTTCCTCAGACACATTTTTGGTGAAACACAACCAAACGTGAATTATTTTTATTCTTTACCTTTCCCAGAGTGATGATTCTGACATTTGGGATGATACAGCATTGATAAAAGCATATGATAAAGCTGTGGCTTCATTTAAGGTATGAAATGTTTGTTTATTCTTTTCCTTATTTCCTCATGTATACTCATTTGGGAAGAAATTGATAACATACACTAAAATGTTACAGTGCATATTATTCAGTTCTAATTTTGAAGATTAAAAGATAACACAAATTAATTACCTTCCTTCAGAAGTTGGTAACCTGACTGTATGTCATCTCTTTAACAGAGGCAATTTAAGTAGTTTTCAAACATTATTTTGAATATGTTTATGCTATATCAAACTATTGAGGTCTTCTATTTCAGATTAGTGGAAGGACAGTCTGAATTATACTTTTAAAATATTTAACAAGCCCTTATTGAAATAATATTGATGATAAATAGCCATAGTGCAGTAATGAATACTTGCAGGGTATTTATAGTGTTCCTGGCACTGTTCCACGTGGTTTACATACATTAAATTAATTTACTCCTCCCCAAATCCTATGAGGTATCAATAGAATCCTATTAGGTATCACCTAATGGTGATAAATGTCAAGGAATACACAGTTCATTTGCAGGGTAAAGCCTGTTTTTTGCAACCCAAACAAGACTTTTACACGGTTGTCCAATCTGATCGTTCTCTGTGCTGTCTGAGGTGCTGAGTCTCATTGAGCACCATGCCTGGCCCATCAGTAGTCTGGGCACAGAGCATACAGTCCTACAGAGCACCAGGGGTAGAGTCTGCCTGCTTTCCTAGTCACTCCTGCAGCATGAGGGAAAGAGGAGATCCGCATGTCATCCTTGATGCTGAACTCTAAATTTATCAGTATCATGCTTTCCAACATACATTTAGACTAGAAATATACCAATCAGAGTTACCAAGAGAGTGCTGTGAAATGCAGAGCAAAATAGGGCTGAATGTGAGGTGGGTTGGTGATATTAAAGGGGGAAGTAGACTGAGAAAAAGAACTGATGTGGGCAAAGAACTGTTGTGGCGTAAGTCAGAAATACTGAACTAAGGAGAAAAGCCAGAACTAGATAATAGTTTTGGACGTTTGTTAGCATAGTAAGTAAAATTGAAGTAATAGGAATAGATGATCCTAAGCAGGTCAAGATGGCAGTTCTTATTGGGAATGCCTAAGTTTAGAACTTGACGAGAGAAGGAATAAAAGTCATTAGGGCTCTGCGTTGCTATGTCATCAAAACTGCCGTGACTATCAAGAAGAAAAATGATTGGCAGAGTATAATATTATGGAAAGGCTGTGAGTGAGGAGACTTGCTTGAAAGGGTCCTTAGAGCTGGTGAGCAGTATATGATATCTTCAAGAGCAGTTTCTGTAGCCTGTGGGATGGTGACAGCCTCTCTGAGGTGGTAGGGCCTGGAGACCAGTTTATAGTGGCTGAGTTACATCATGACTTTTTGATAATATATCACTCTGTAACACATACATTTCTATTCACATTTTCATAGCATGCTCTGAAGAATGGTGACATTTCTGAAGCCTCAGAAAAACCCAAAGGCACACCTAAAAGAAAATCTGCTAAGAAGAATAAAAGCCAAAGAAAGAACACCACAACTCCTTCACAGCAGGTTATTTTAAAACCATAAGATTTAACTTCTAAGCATTTCTTGTTACTGTCCTTATTAAATAGTGTAAAATATCTTTAATTAAATGATTAGTACAGTGTTTTCCATTGACATGTAATCATAACATTTCTGAAGCACCTCAACTTTTTGTTTAGGCACATGCATGTTAGTAAAAGCATAAGGAATTAGGAGGAAAGGACACATGCTAAATTCAGGACAGTGTCCACTATATGTTGGGGTGGTGGGGAGGAAGGTGGTGCTGCCTGGGAGGGGTACCCAAGGGCTCACCCTCAGTGGATGGTGTTTGACTTTCCTAGAACTGAGAGAGGTGTCCTCCTCTTCCTTCAGACTCCTAAAGCTGTTAATGCCCAGGGACTAAATATTCTGGGCAGAGTCACTTCTGTTTAAAACAGTCAGCCTAGAAGGTAATTATTTTGGCGTCTCACTAGTTGCTTCGGTGTCCTCTTTCCCAAGGGGGAAAGAGCTGACGTGTGAGGAGAACTTGCCACGTGCTGGGTCAGGATACTGGGCACGTGACATGCTTCCCGTCCTCCCTGTTCTTCACAGCGCATGTGTGAGGCAGATCATAGTACAGCCGCGTAACAGAGGAAAACACGGCTCAGAGTGATTAAGAAACTTGTCCGTGATTATATAAATGGCGGAATTATGTGGTATTTCTATTAGAATTCAAATTTCTGTGTTTTGGGCCCCAAATCTTTTTCTCTATAACATTCTGCCTCCCAGAACAGTTAACTGGAGACTCCCATTCCCCCCCAACTCCACCCCACTCAAACAAGATTACAGTTTACTTTTTTGTAAGAAATGTGTTTGTGTCTTTCGTTTCTTTTACAGTGGAAAGTTGGTGATGAATGTTGTGCCATTTGGTCAGAAGACGGATGCATTTACCCAGCTACTATCGCTTCAATTGATTTTAAGAGAGAAACCTGTGTTGTGGTTTACACTGGATACGGAAATAGAGAGGAACAAAATCTGTCTGATCTACTTTCACCGAGCTCTGAAGTAGCTGATATAGAGCAAAATGCTCAGGAGGTAAGGATAAAAAAAATTAGAGCTGTTAGAAGTAGAGGCTAGAGGAAAAACTAAATAGTATAACTGATTGTCAGTTTGATCCACTGAAGCTTTAAATTTTTCTCAGTGATGCCTTTATAACAAAAATATGTATATTTCTTTCTCTTAAAAGAATGAAAATGAAAGTCAAATTTCAACAGATGAAAGTGAGAACTCCTCCAGGTCTCCTCCAAATAAACCAAATAATATTAGGTCGAGAGCTGCTCCATGGAACTCTTTTCTGCCTCCACCACCCCATATGCCAGGATCAGGCCTGGGACCAGGAAAGGTAAACTTCTATCCAGAAGAGGTTTCCCAGGACATGGACCTTCAGCCCCTGCATCAAGTGAATTGTAGCTTTTCTCATTAAACTGTTTGGGTGTTTTGTGGGTTTTTTTTTGGCTGTGGTATGCAGCTCACAGGATCTTAGTTCCCTGACCAGGGGTTGGACCTGGGCCATCTGGACCACCAGCGCTTTCCCTCTTGAAACTTTTGTAGCTTTCTACAGATGTTGTAAATAGATACCTGAAATTCTCTGAAAAGGAAATAAGATAGAAATGCCTTTCCCAGCAATTTTTATTGAGTATTAGGTGTTGGAGTAATAATTTAGCAAACTTAAGTTTGAAAAAATTTTATCATCAGCTGGATGTTGTGCTGTAGTTCCCTATGACAGTTGTATAAGGTGTATAAAAATTGGAAGAGAACCCAATATTTACATCTGGTACAGGTGAAATCCAAAGAAGCTCCCAGATTGTTTTGTAGAGTAAAATGTAAAGACTGTTTTTTTAATGGTTTTTTTGGTTATCAGTAACATGAAAAAGGTTTTTACCTTTGGTTATGTCATGGAATCCATATCCCTTTCCAGTTGTCATGTTAAAACATTGATTTCTTCAAGCAATGGTAATAACTAAATATTTTTTTTAAATCAAGCATGACATTAAAACTTTTTCTTAGAGTTTCCTGTTCAGAGCTCCTTATTGAAATTTGTGTTATATTACATTTTTCAGAATGATCAGACCTTAATTTATATATATAAAGTGCTTTGTTGGTCTCAGGGGCTGATTTCCTTGTTAAGGAAGAGGCTTATAGTTTATAATATGTATTTTTATAATACATACTCTTAAGTTATCATATGTAACTAAATGGACATCCAATAGATTATACAGTTTATTATACAGTTTATGAAATCTTATATGACTGAAATGCCTTGCTGAATATTTGATCTCTTATTTACTAGGTAATGAAAAATTTTCCTTACTTTGCTTTTTTTTCCTGACTGTCTATATAGAAAGGAAATGAGAAAAAGCTAAATTTGTGAGTGTAGGGACATCCGTGTCGGTCCAGCAGTTAAGAGTCTGTGTTTCCAACACAGAGAGTGAGCGTTAGATCTCTTGTCAGGGAACTGAGATTGTACGCGCCGAACAGCGTGGCCGCCCCCTCCTTCCCCCCGCCGCAAAAAAGTCTCTATGATGTCAGCATTCGGTATGTGGGATTCCGTCTAACCTTTTTGATATGAATAATATAGATGTTATTTTGGGCAGCTATTTTGAATCTTTGGACGTTGGGGTTTGGTTTTTGGTTTTTTTGGATTTTTTTTGCTTTTTACATTTTAAAACTGGTAAATAAATCTTGCTTTGAAATACTCTTTATAGTCAGGTCTAAAATTCAGTGGCCCGCCGCCGCCGCCGCCACCACCACCACCACCGCCACCACCGCATTTCCTGTCATGCTGGCTGCCTCCATTTCCTTCTGGACCACCAGTAAGTGCAGAAGAGTTCGGATTGAACTTTACTTTCATACAGAGTTTGGGATTTAGCCAGAACATAGGTAGTTTGGAAATGTCATTGTATACCATCCCTGTGGCCAGGTTCTGATGGGTAAAAGTTCAGGCTAAACCTTCGGGTTTTTCTTTTTAATGACCTTCTGCTTCGCAGACTCAGTCCTCTTAGGCCCCAGCTCTGAGTCCTGTTGTGCATGCTTCCTTCCTGGCAGAAGTGTCTCATTCTAAGGGAGGTAGCTCCTATCTAGAAGGATTTAATGACACCATGCTTAGGGATCAGTGTTTTACCTTTCAAGGCATGTAGACTGTGGATATCTAATGGTAGACTTTTAAATATCAATAATAGGTAAAATACAAAGACAGTTGTTTTGGCAGACTGTATTGGTGTGGGGGCAGTGTAGATGTTCTCGCCAGAACCTTTACTTGAAATGCTATGTGGATGTTTTTTGAGGAAAGTCATAGAAGTATCTATCCTTGATTTTTTACCTATCGATTCATAATGGAATAGATAAATAGGTCTACTGAATGCAAAATGTTTAAATATTTTATGGGACCTGTTGTCTTTTGGTTCTTGTTCAGTTTAACTTTATTGGTCTGTTATTCATTACTGGTTAGCTTTCTCCAAATCCCACATTTTTTTTTTTAACTCCTAAAAACCTCTCACCACCTTAGATAAGATCAACCTAACAAATCTGAAAAATTAACTGTGAAAAGTGAAAGTGATGTCACTCAGTCGTGTCGGTCTCTTTGCGATCCCACGGACTGTAGCCCACCAGGCTCCTCCGTCCGTGGGATTTCCCAGGCGCATGTACTGGAGTGGGGTCTTATTTCCTTCTCCACCAGATTTTTTAAAAAATTTAACCAAGAGATGACGTGGGGTGTCAGGAAAGATACAGCTAACGTTCAGCATTCTGTACATAAAATAGATTTCCATACTTTGTGTTTTTGTCTACTGACTTTAAAGTGTATCTTTGTGTTTCCAGATGATTCCGCCACCACCTCCCATATGTCCAGATTCTCTGGATGATGATGATGCTTTGGGAAGTATGTTAATCTCTTGGTACATGAGTGGTTATCATACTGGTTATTACATGGTAAGGGATCACTCAGCACCTTCCCTGACAGTCGCTTTGCGGTTTTGTGACTTTGCTTGCTTGTGACTAAAAAGTGGTTTCTTATGTTAGGTAGATTCTTAGAGTTAAAAACTATAGGCATACCTCAGTGGAGCAAGACATATGACTCTTCTGGTTTCCTAGTACATATAAAAATTACATTTACATTGTACTGTATTCTAGAATGTATGTAATAGCACAATGTCTTAAAAACAGTGTACAGACCTTAATTTTAAAGTACGTTATTGCTAAAAAAATGCTAACTGCTATCTGACAACACAGTTGCCACAAAACCTTCAGTTTGTTTGAACAGTATAGCTATTTAAAGCTGCAGGGAGCAAAGGTTTGATCCCTGGTTGGTGAACTAAGATTCTGCATGCAACAAGGTGCAGCCACACACAGAAAAATAGTGAAATTTGCTTTTCTTATTCATCAGTCCTTTGGGGACCAGTTTCACTAAACTTAGTGACCTTTTACTTCAACTGTATTCTAACTTCCCTAGTTAGTTATCACATCGTTTCCTTCTCCCCTTTAAAGACAGTCTTCTTTAAAAAGTTACCTCTAGTTGCCCTCTTTACTGCTCACCTCCCAGTGTCTCTTCAGGCCTATCGGGGAGACGTCTGTCTTCCCCACTGCATTCAGCTTTTCACCTGCATGGTCAGTTCTCTGCTTTACCTCTCTTTCCTGTCAGCAGCATTCTAACATATCTGACGGTGCTTTCTTCTGCAGCCGTCGGTACCGTGCTGTGGTCTACTAGTCCTAAGCCTTCCTTCTCGGCAGCTCCTTCCAGGCTCCTTAGACAGCCCCGTGTGAGGTTCCTCATGCCCAAATTATAGCCCCCTTCTCTAACTATAGACTCACGAGGTGACCTCATCAACTCCAGGACTTAAAACGCCATGTTTGCACTGTTAAATTCTCAGATGTCTGGTTGTGAACTATCCAGCTGGCTGTTTCCCCCACCACCTGGCTGGCTGTTAGGGGCACCGCAGACACATCTCACCAGAACCAGATGACTAGAGTCATCTCCAAAACTCTGTTCCCACGGCCCCTGACACCTCAGGAAGCAGTGACGTTGGTGCATTAGCAGCATTGCTCTCTCAAGCCACGGGCGTGGAATTAGCATTATTGATTCCTCACTTTCCTTCACTTTCTTCAACCAATTTGTAAGAAAATTCTATTGATCATTTCCATACAGAGCCTGAATCAATGCACTTTGCTTTCACTGCCCTGCTGTTACACCCATTCAGGATACTATCGTCTCCTTTAACTGAGACATAAAAAATCACTATTTTATTTATTATTTAAAATGTTTATGTACTGCTTTGGCTGCACAGGGTCTTAGTTATGGCACTCAGGATCTCCGATCTTTGTTGTGGCGTGTGCGATCTAGTTCCCTGACCAGGGATTAAACCCAGACACCCTGCACTGGGAGTGCAGAGTCAGCCACTAGACCACCAGGGAAGTCCCATAATTCACTCTGTTAAAGAGTACAATTAATTGGTTTTTAAATTATATTCAAAAGGTACAACCACTGTCTTTACCCAATTCCAGGATATTTTTATCTCTCATTTTAAACAAGCCATACCTGGTAATAGTCACTGATAATATCCTCTGCACCCACCTCCTGGCAACTGCTAATCTGCTCTCTCAGGATTTGCTTATTCTGAACATTTCATATAAATGAAATCCTACAATATATGGCTTTTTGTCCCTGGCTTCTTTCACTTAACCTCTGTTTCTTAATGTTCCTCTGTGTTTTAGCGTGTAGTAATACTTCGTTTAACTGCTGAATGATATTCCACTGTATGGATGGTACCACATGTGTTTACCCATTCATCAGTTGATGGACATTTGGGTTGTCTCCTCTTTGGCTACAGTGAATAATTCTGTTCTCTACATTTGTATACAAATTTTGTATGGACACAGTGGTTTTCTGTTTTGGGGGGTATATATGTAGAAATAGAATTGCTGGCTCAAAAGGTCGCTCTAGTGGAACCATTGTACTGTTTTCTAAGTGACTGCATCATCCTGTGTAACTTCAAGCAGTGTGTTAGGGGTCCTGTTTCTCCACATCCTCACCAATATGTATTGTTGTCTTCTTGTTGGCTCATAGCCATTCTAGTGGGTGTGAAGTGATACTTTTTTATGGTTTTTATTTCCCTATTGACTAATGACATTGAGCATCTTTTCATGTGCTTATTGGTCATTTATATATATCTTTTTGGAGAACTGTCTGTTCACATCCTTTACCTGTCTTTTTTGTTGATAAGTTGTAATAGCTCTTTATATGTTCTGGATAAGACAACATCTCTCACCTAAACTGCACCAGATCCCAAGTATTCTTTTTGCTTATGAAATCTCAGGTCCCATTCTGCCAAATCCATTCTGCATACAGCAGCTGGGAGTGCTATTTTAAAATGTAAAGTATATCATTTCTTTCTCTTTAAGACCCTCTGATAGCTTACAGTCACAGGTTAAAATCCAAAACCCTTGTTGCGGTTTGCAAAGTATGATGCACTGTATCTTGTCAGGTTCTTTACCCACAGTTTATTCCATGCTCTTCTTACTCACCATAGTCCTGCAGCCCTGGCCTCTTTTCTTGCTCATGTCCAGCTTTATACCTTCTTCTGGACCTTTGCACTCATTATTCTTTAGTTTGGAAAGCTGTTACCCTATATTTTACTTGTCTGACTTGTTATTCATATCTCAACTGAAATTCCATCTTGCCTAGAAATATTTAAGCTAGAAGAGATCCACCCTTACTGTCTATTGTATCACCCCACTTAGAGTCTCTGTGTGGCAGTAAGCGCTTCTGGTATGATTTTCATTACCTGTTTAACTGTCTCCCTCCAGTAGAATGTAAGCTTCATGGGAGCAGGGACCTTGTCTGTCTTGTAACCCTTGGATCGCTAGAATCTGGAATAGTGTCTGGTTCAGAGTAAGTTCATCGTTTGCTAAATATTAAACATTAGTAAGTTTTTTCTCTGGTAATTAGATAACTTTTTATATATAAAGTTTCTGGCAGATTAGTTCCATATGATATCTGGAAGTACCATTATTGGGTAAAAAGTATAAACTTAATTTAAAAAAGTTTTAATAACTTTTGATACTGTTGACTGATTTTCACAATTCTTTTCATGTGTGTTGCCACCAGTACAAACAACTTGAAAATGTCTGTTTTATCACAGTCTTAAAATAGTTATACACTGTATTGCTTGCATCTTTTATAACTGTTAAGAGCAGTTAAAAATATGAATGTTCTGGGACTTCCGTGTTCTGGGACTTCCACACCCCCAATTCAGGGGGCCCAGGTTTGATCCCTGGTCAGGGAACTAAATCCCACACACAGCAATTAAGAGTTCACATGTCACAACTGAGATCCCTCATGCCACAAAGAAGACCCAGTACAGCCAAATAAATAAGCATATTTTTTTAAAAATAGCAATGTTCTAACGTGTTAGAATATATTTGATTTGAAGGATGACACAGATGAAAATTAGAGTTGATGAAATGCGTACAGTGAGTTAACTGTGCTCAAATATTCATATTTCACGTACTTGATTGAACTGTTGTTAAAACCTAGCAGATTTTCAGTAGACTTTGTTGTTGCTTGTTTATAAATACTTTAAAAAGTCTGTATTTGGCTCTGTTGGGTCTTAGTTGCAGCATGCAGGGTCTTCGGTTGCGGTGCACGGACTCTCCAGGTTGTAGTGTGTAGGCTCAGTAACTGCAGCCCGCCCCTCCACAGCCTGTAGGCTTCAGTAGCTGCAGCTCGCAGGCTTCGTTGCTCCTCACCATGGGAGATCTTAGTTTCCAGACCAGGGATTGAACCTGCATCCCTGTATTGCAAGGTGAATTCTTAACAACTAGACCACCAGGGAAGTCCCCAGCAGACTGAACACTGGTCCTGATCCACAAACTGCAGCTGTTTTTGTTTCTTTCACAGTTCAAGTGACAGTTCCTGGGAAGGTAACCTTGTCTGATATATTTGCCACAAATTCAGTAGTAAGCTAGGATTAGCTTGTTGCAGAGAAAATGATCTTTACTTTTAGAGGCATTACTTGTATATCTGTATAAATTAAAATATAAATATAGGTTCATATTCAGAAACAAAAGAAATTCATATTTCCTAGGTCTTACATTTTTTTCTCTTGGAAATTCTTACCATTAAAAAGAAGAAGCTACTATTCATTGTCATGTTTTCCAGTGGCTTACATGTGTTTCAGAGACTGTTGCCTTCAGCTTGCAATTCTTAACTGTTGCTCCACAGAAGCATACATGTTTGACAGCTTTTCCATTGCTGACCTGTTCCCATAAGAGCAACAGAGGGTTTGGGTAGCTCTTAACCTATACCTTTTCCTTTTTCTAGAAATCCTAACAGAATGCAAATAAATAAGGGTAATATTATTAAATTAAGGGTAATAATATTAAAATAACATAGGCTCTAACTTTGGTGCTTATTACTAACAAATCACTTTAAAATACATCTTATGGCCTCAAAGATAGAGATTAGTAGTGAAATAGAAAGTGTATATGTGTAGGGGAAGGTAGAAGTTCACTGAAGCCAGAAGACAGGAGTAGGACTCTGCTAGGTGAGACCAGGAAAAATAGTAAATATTTCAGTCTTAACTTGTAAAATGTTTCTGTCTAGTGCCAAAATATTTTAATGGTTTTAATAAATGAGTATGACACATTGTATGTATATTTTAGACTTCGTGACATCTTGAGACATCTTTAGACTTAGTGAAAGAAGGATATTGTTTACTTTAAAGCACATTTGAGAGACTTCCCCAGAGGTCCTATGGTTAAGACTTCTCCTTCCAATGCAGGGGGTGCAGGTTTGATCCTTGGTGGGGGAGCTAAGTTTCCACATGCCTAGGGGCCAAAAAAACAAAACAAAAACAGAAGCAATATTGTAACAATTTCAATAAAGTCTTTAAAAATGGTCCACATCAAAAAAAAAAAAACTTTAAAAAACACATTTGAAGGCTATAAGCTTATTTTCTAATGATATTTTATTAAAGAGAATTAGTGAAATATCTTATGTGAAACAGAATGTTTACTTCTATATAAAATGTATATTCTGTTCTTCTAAATTCCTTTATTTTCCTTACAGGGTTTCAAACAAAGTAAAAAAGAAGGAAGGCACTCACATTTCAATTAAGGAGTAAGTCTGCCATCATTTTAAAAGAGAATCTTACTTTTATATGAATTTTATAGTTTGTGAAAAATATGTGTTTGAAAATTAAAATGTTGAAAAGTAAAAAAGTTAATGCAAAACAAGATTAAAGACATTTTGATGCAGAACTGTTTGATAAAAGGTAGCTCTGTACCCCCTCTAGAACCCTCATGATGTCCCAGCATCTTCTCAGCAGACCTTGTCGGTTGGCGGTGTGGACAGGAAAACACGCCTTTACAATAAAGAGATTCTTAAGGGGCTTGCCCGGCGGCCCAGCAGCTCGGAGTCCACCTTCCAGTGCAGGGGTGTGGGTTCAGCCCCTGGGCAGCGGACTGATCCCGCACGCCACACGGCAGCTCAGCCCTGAGACACAGTGTGGCCAAAAATAAGTAAAGAAATTTTTTAAAAAATTCTTTTTTAAAAAGAGATCCTTAGAATCAGAGACGAAACTTTGTATTACTGTAGACAATCAGACTTGCTTTTTGATTTGTGATACAGTATAGGATCAGTTTAGTTCAGTTGCTCAGTAGTGTCTGACCCTTTGTGACCCATGGACTGCAGCACACCAGGTTTCCCTGTCCATCACCAACTCCCGGAGCTTGCTCAAACTCATGTCCATCAGGTCGGTGATGCCATCCAACCATCTCAACCTCTGTCGTCCCCTTCTCCTCCTGCCTTCAATCTTTCCCAGCATCAGAGTCTTTTCCAGTGAGTCAGTTCTTTGCATCAGGTGGCCAGAGTATTAGCGCTTCAGCATCAGTCCTTCCAATGAATATTCAGGATTGATTTCCTTCAGGATTGACTGGTTTGATCTCCTTGCAGTCTTGAGAGTCCAGGACTCTCAAGAGTCTTCTCCAACACCATAGTTCAAAAGCATCAGTTCTTCAGCACTCGGCCTTCTGCTTCTGTTAGGTCCATACTGTTTCTGTCTTTTATTGTACCCATCTTTGCATGAAATGTTCCCTTGGTATCTCTGATTTTCTTGAAGAGATCTCTAGTTTTTCCCATTCTATTGTTTTCCTGTTTCTTTGCATTGATCACTTAAGAAGGCTTTCTTATCTCTTCTTGCTATTCTTTGGAACTCTGCATTCAGATGGGTATATCTTTTCTTTTCTCCTTTGCCTTTCACTTCTCTTTTCTCATCTGTTTATAGGGTGTCGTGAGACAACCGTTTTGCCTTTATTTTACACTTTTGGTCCATATTCATCTATATTTTGATGTTTGTCATCTGTATTTTGTGAGAGTGTGTGTGTGTGTGTGTGTATCCCCATTTAACATCACATTTTTAATGTTTTGATACATTCTTTCTGTTAGATTGTTTGTATGTTACGTCACTGTTCCTTTAGTTCCGTAACCTTTGGTGTCTTGATAACGTTAGTAAATATGTTCTTTTACATAGTGCTTGGTTCTCCTCTGTCTTAGCCTTAAGGTAGCTTTCTGTGCTGTGACTCTTAGTAAAGATTATGGGCATTATGCTTCTTGGTGGATATTTCTATGTTACCTTGAAAAGCAAATTTCAAAAACCATCTTTTCCAAATTGATGCATTCCTGGGTGGGTATTTTTAAAATAATATAAATCCTCACACTTAACTGTATAGTTGCCTGTATTTCATTCTTCAATTAAAGTTGTTTTTATTCAATTAAAGTTCTTCAGCTAAGTGCTAAGTCTAAAAAGGTGAACAGAAAGATTAGGCAAGGAGTGAATTGGGTTGAAGTGTTCCAGTCAGAGAACATATAAACTGGAGCATTAGGATAGCGTGTTTCAAGGCCTAAGTTAGCCCAGGTGATGCCACTGTCTCAAATGCTACTCAGCTTTCTTACACGTTCTCCATCTGTGTTAGTTCCCCTCTTCTGTTTTCTGCTTATTTCTGTTACATAGCTTTTCACTGTATAGTATCTTTATTTAATGTGTTTGTTTTTCCTCCATCATTAGAGATAAGGCACTAGACCCCATTCTCCATCATGTCTTCAGTATCTGGCAGTGTTTTGAAGTCTAGGATGGGCTTAGAGCATAGACTGGATGGGATGTCAAAGAAGAGAGAAAGTAGTGAATGGAAGTGAGATTTTGGAGTTTTTTCAGGTCAGATCTTTTACCCATCATGAAAGGTTAGGCATCAGTTGTGTTTCTTTCATTTTTTTCTTGGCTGTGCTGGGTTTATTGCTGCGTGCAGGCTTTCTAGCTGCGGCAAGCAGGGCCACTCTTCACTGCCATGCGCAGACTTCTCATTGCGGCGACTTACCTTGTTGGGATGTATGGGCCCTAGAGCATACAGGCTCAGTAGTTGTGGCCCACGGGCTTAGTTGATCTGTAGCACATGGGGTCTTTCCAGACCAGGGATCAAACCTGTATTCCCCGAATTAGAAGGCGGACTCTTCTGTGACTTTATTTGTCTGTTTGGGCTGCATCGGGCCTTAGCGGTGTGTGGGCTTAGTTGTTGCGCCGTGTGGGCTTAGAACATGGGGTCTGAGTTCCCTGACCAGGGATGGAACTCACGTCCCCTGTGTTGGAAGGCTGATTCTTAACCACTGGACCACCAGGGAAATCCTCATTTTAATAATTTTGAACTTATTCTCTCTGTCGATTTTGTTCTCTTTGCTTTTATGGACAGAAAAATGAAAAGGTCTGAATTTTCAGCTGTGATCAAAAAAAGCTTACAGAAAGAAAAAGATTACAAGGATGGTGTCTCTAGACTTCCGTTAACACTTCTTGAAAGATAATCTGATATTTTGGACAACAGAATAAAAATACTGAAGGATGGTGTAATAGTGATCTTTATTTCACTGCTAATGATTTATTTCATCCTTTTCAGTGATTCCATCCTTTCATGTTCTTATTTTTAGTCTTTTTTTTTTTTCATTTATTTTTATTAGTTGGAGGCTAATTACTTCACAACATTTCAGTGGGTTTTGTCATACATTGACATGAATCAGCCATGGAGTTACATGTATTCCCCATCCCAATCCCCCCTCCCACCTCCCTCTCCACCCAATCCCTCTGGGTCTTCCCAGTGCACCAGGCCCAAGCACTTGTCTCATGCATCCCACCTGGGCTGGTGATCTGTTTCACTATAGATAATATACATGCTGTTCTTTCAAAACATCCCACCCTCGCCTTCTCCCACAGAGTCCACAAGTCTGTTCTGTACATCTGTGTCTCTTTTTCTGTTTTGCATATAGGGTTATCATTACCATCTTTCTAAATTCCATTTATATGTGTTAGTATGCCGTAATGTTCTTTATCTTTCTGGCTTACTTCACTCTGTATAATGGGCTCCAGTTTCATCCATCTCATTAGAACTGATTCAAATGCATTCTTTTTAATGGCTGAGTAATATTCCATGGTATATATGTACCACAGCTTCCTTATCCATTCGTCTTTTTTTTTTAAGCACAGCTCGAGGTCATTGGTTAATGTGTTATCTGTTGCTCCATAACAAATGATCCTAAAACTTAGCACCTTGAAACAGCAGATATTTGTTTATCTCTAGTTTCTATGGGTCAGAAATGCAAGAGGCAACTGAGGTGGGTGGTTCTCCTAAGACTGCAAGTCATCAGGCTCAAGGCAATAATCATCTCAGGGTTCTACTGGCGCTGGAGCGTCTGCTTCAAGCCCACCCGCATGGTTGTTGTCAGGAGGCTCTCTTGCTCTTTGGGGCTCTCCATAGGCAGCCTGAGAGTCCTCACAAGCAGGTAGTAGTTGGCTTCTCCAGAGTGAGTGAGCCAGCACAACAGAGTGAGCAGCACCCCGTACACTTTATGACTTAATCTCTAAATCACACACCATCACTTTCACCTTTTACTGTCCTTTTGAAGAAGTGCAGCCCACAGCCAACGGGACGGGATTAGACAAGGGCAGGTATCACTGGGGACTCTCTTGAAGGCTGGCTACCACAGTGAATTAAATCCTGAGATGAAGACTAACAGAATGTTTCAAGTAAGGGATAATAAAATCACTAAGATTCTATATTGCAGATTTATGAAAGTCCAGTAGAATTACAGCTTAACTGCAAGATAGTTTTTTTTTTTTTTTAATAAATTAAATTATTTATTTATTTATTTATTTTTATTTTATTTTTTAAATCTTTGTTCTTTGGCAGATCGCTCAGAGTGAGTACTGAATCCTTATAAATAGTTAGAACTGCTTGAATAAGAAACTAAAAAATGGGAATTCCCTGGTGGTCCAGTGATTAGGTGATTTGGTGCTTTGACTGCTGTGTTTGGGTTTAGTCCCTAATCAGGGAACTAAGACAAGACTCAGCCAATAAAAAAAGAAAGAAAAACAAACACAAAAATTAAAATTGGACTCAGATGATATATTCAGGATTGATTTCCACTCTCTGCTTTTCATAGAAGTTTTAAAAAATGTCTTCCTATCTGGTTATTTATTAAAATGGATATTTCAGGACCCATAAATTTTTCTCTGAATATTTAGTTGCTTCTGTAGAATTCTTATTTTCTAGATATTCCAGATTTCAAAATTTTTTTTAATTCTAGAAATTTTTAATTAATTTTAGGTAGTTAGGTTTAATTTCTAGTTTTATTGTTAGTGTAATTATAGAATGTCATTTGTGTTGGTCTAATTACTATTCTTTTTAACACAGAAGTTTGATCATTATTTTTAATATGTCTTAAGTTCTGTTAGGACAAATCAAATACCAGTGGTCCTTAAGAATTTTTTTAAAGAATACTCTTGTCTATTTATTCCTTCAAATGAATCTCACAGTTTGTCTAAATACCTCACTATCCCATAAAGATCAAAATTAGTATTACATCGTCTTTTACATTAGCACATTTTTATTCTCGCTTTATTTACCTTGATGAAGGTGTTGCTGTTTTCTCTCTTCTTCATGATTTTATATGAAAATAGGTTTTGTTTAGATTCATGATTGTATTTAGGTTTCTTATCTTTCAGATTCAGATGCAGCTCTCTCCCAAGGAGATGGTATTTTGATGTGCCCTGGTTGAAGTGAACAAATGTTTCATCA